GATAGTGTTGGTGATGCTGTTGATGGTGTTGTGATAGTGGTGATGATGGTGGTGGTGGTGATGGTGGTGATGGTAATGGTAGTGGTGGTAGTGATGGCAATGGTGATGGTGTTGGTGATAGTGGTGATGGTGCTCATGATGGTGGTGATAGTGATGGTGATGGTGGTGATGGCAGTGGTGATGGTGGTGATGGTCATGGTGGTGGTGATGGTGGTGGTGATGGAGGTGATGGTCATGGTGGTGATGATGGTGGTGATGGTGGTGGTGATGGTGTTGGTGATGGTAGTGATGGTCATGGTGTTGGTTGTGGTGATGGCGATGGTGTTGGTGATGGTGGTGATGGCAATGGTATTGGTGATGGTGTTGGTGGTGGTGATGGTGATGGTGGTGGTGACGGTCATGGTGGTGGTGGTGGTGATGGTGATGGTGTTGGTGACGGCAATGGTGTTGGTAATGGTGGTGATGGTTATGGTGTTGGTGATGGTGGTGATGGTTATGGTGTTGGTGATGGTGGTGATGGTCACGGTGGTGGTGATGGTGGTGATGGCATGGTGATGGTGGGGATGTTCATGGTGGGGGTGATGGTGGTGATGGCATGGTGATGGTGGGGGTGATGGTGGTGATGGTGGTGATGGTGGTGATGGTCATGGTGGTGGTGATGATGGTGATGGTGGTGATGGTGATGGCATGGTGATGATGGTGATGGCATGGTGATGGTGGTGATGGTGATGGTGGTGGTGATGGTGGTGATGGTCATGATGGCGGTGATGGTGGTGATGGTGATGGTGGTGATGGTGGTGATGGTCATGGTGTTGGTGATTGTGGTTATGATGACGGTGTTGGTGATGGTGATGGTGGTGATGGTCATGGTGTTGGTGATTGTGGTTATGATGACGGTGTTGGTGATGGTGATGGTGGTGATGGCAATGGTGATGGTGGTGATGGTCATGTTGGTGGTGATGGCAGTGGTGTTGGTGGTGATGGCAATGGTGTTGGTGATGGCGGTGATGGTGATGGTGTTGGTGATGGTGGTGATGGTGATGGTGGTGATGGCAATGGTGATGGTGGTGATGGTTATGGTGGTAGTGATGGTGGTGATGATGATGGTGTTGGCAGTGGTGATGGTGGTGGCCGTGAAAGTTTTGGTGGTGCTGCTAGTGGTGGTAGGACTGGGAGGAGCTCTGGGGCTTGGTTCAGGGGACCTGAATTAACCTTCTTTCCTCCTGACTGAACCCAGTTTCCTCTAACCTCAGCCATCAGCCAAGTTGTAGGACAGGAGAATGGGATAGTGGCTCCCTCTGTGATTTCCAGGGACCATTTCTGAGCCAGAAAAGGAGTCTTAACTAGACTGCCTGATCCTCTTCCTATCTGCAAATACTTCAACTTTCTGTGCCTTAGTTTCCCTATCTATAAAATCAGGAGGAGAAGAAAGCATACTGGTCCTGCTTCTTTGACAATCAGATAAAAGCTGGATCCCCCTGGAAAAACAGACACGCACACATGCACATGCACACGCATACTGTAGCCATGTGACTTGGAGGCTTCTAGCACTTCCTCTTGCCTGAAGACTCCAGTTCTGTCTCGATAGGCCAGCCTCTAACTCTTTTACCTACTTTGCCATGCAGGTCCATGCAAGACCCTGCTCCACAAACCCAAGCCGGGACAGGTGACATCTGTGGGGGCTGTCCCAGCGGGCTGTTCTGGCCCAGTCCAGCCTCACTCCTGACCCAGGCATACCATCCAGGCTGCTGGACTCTCGGGTCCCAGGAGGGTCCTCCTGATCTGCAGGAAAGGTGGATCTGGGTGAGCAGAAGTCACATGCAAAGAGGAAGGTATCAGTGGCAATAGCATTGCTGGCTACTGGTGTGGGCAAGAGGAGTTCCTCACACCCAACCCCTGCAGAGGTGCAGCGTTCAAGAATTCAGTGGAATCAGGGAGAGATTTGTCTCCTCCTCCCAAAAGCAGACATAGGACTGAGACAAGCAAGAGAAGTCCTCCCCCAGTAGGCTTGCATACCTGGAGCTCAGGGTAGGGGGACAGCAAAGGACAGCCTGCATTCCAGGCCAGCTCCATTAACATGTGCATGACACGTTACAGTTCACAAAGCATTTCCTCCTGCATCGATTTGGGTGGTCCCATGAGAACCCCTGGAGATAGGCTTGTGCTCTGGTCGTAGGAAAAGCCCCCCAAAAGTTGATTGATTTGACCAAGGTCCCATGGTAGGAAGGAGCCAAGTGAGGCTTGAACTGAGTCCTGCCTCCCACCCCATCTGGTGGCCTTGCCAAACCCTCAGGTGGCCCTAAGATGCCAGGCATGGTGCCTGGGGCGATCTCCGTCCCTCTCCGATCTTTGTGAAAAGCCCTTGGGGACTTTCCAGCCTGGCTTTTAGGAAGCTGCACCGCCACTGCCCCTCTGAGGTGGCAGGTGAGGATTAGCACCTCCAGGCAGAGGAGCCACAGGTCCAGACAGCGAAGCAACTTGGCCAAGGCTTCAGTGCCCGGAAGTGGCAGAGCCTGGACAAGAACCCAGGTCTGCAGACCCCTGGCTGGAGTCGGGGCCCTGGCTGGAGCTGGGTTTCTAAAAATAAAGTGCTGCTCCTAGAACAGACCCAGAGCCGGGACTTTCGGGCCGGCTGGGTCCCAGTGTGAGCTCAGGTTGGGCCTGGCTGCCAGGGATGGGAAGGGGCAGACCGCTTCCTGCTCCGGCTGGCGCGGTCCCCGTGAGGTGGTCATCAGAAGCCAACCACTTCCCAGTCTGGGCCGCCTTCCCCTTTCTCAGCCTGGGAGGGGACAGCTAGTCCCCTCCAGTGGATGAGGCAGCACTTGCGTGCTGTGGCCTGCATGGTGTCTGTCCTCTTTTCATTTCCCCCGCTCACCGCGTCCCTCTCCACAGCCACAAACGGTCGGAAGCTGCTCAGAACGGCCTGCCTGGGCCCCTGTCCATGGCGGTGCCCCTCCCCCTCGGGGGCCTCGTCTCCCAGGAGCTTGGGGAGCGTCCCCTTCCCAGCCCTGCTGGGGGTCTGTCCCCTAGGGCCTGGAATGAGGCATTATCATCCCACTGAGGCTCCAAGGGGGTCTGCAGCCCAGGTCACACACACCCCCAGGGAGACCCGGGATGTGAACTCAGATGCGTCTAGCTCCAGGATGTCCGTCTCGTGCGCATTTAAGATTTCCAGTATGTGTGAGCCAGAGGGCGCAAAGCAGCCGGGGGGCACGGCTGACACGGCGGGACCTGAGCGCCACCAGCACTGGAGCGTGTCTGCTTCTCCCTGTCCCCCCCTACACAGGCCTCACTGTCCCAGAGCAGTCGAGGGGCAAACGCGCAGGAACACAGCCGACTGTGCCACCCCACCGCACAGAGGCTCCGAAGCACCCGCTGAGGGCCAGGCCTGGGCTTGGGGACCTTGATCCTGTGGCCTGACTGTCTCAGTGTTCTCTCAGCTTCCTTCAGTCCTCGAAGAGAAGCTAGCGGTTCCTTGCCAAGGGGGCAGCAGCGAGCAGGGATAAAACCAGAGCCAGGTGGGTCAGGGTTCAGATCCCAGCCCTGCCAGGCCCAGGGTGGCTCAGGGAAGTGGCTTCGTGCACCTCAGTTTCCTTGCCTGTAAAATAGGGACAAAATAGCAGAAGCGCCTTTCAGGCCCCCGTTCAGCTGACTCCCCTCCTGTGCTGGGCAGACAGTGGGTGTGTTGGCGCCGTGCAGCTGCCCTGCCGCCCAGCAAGGTCTCTTCCCAGGCTGCGGCCTCCCGTTGTAACTGCACAGCCACTAAGACGCAGGGAGGTCAGGACAGGGAGTTGTCATGTCACTGAAACTAAGAAAAGGCCTTGGAAAGGCACACAGAGAAGTGAGCTGTCAAAACAAAAATGCTGCCGAGTTAGGTGTGAGTCAGACGGCGCTGGAGGCTTGGGGAAAACGTAGAGTCATCCTGCATTATCGCTGGTGTCACCACAGTTTCACCTACCTGAGGTCAACCATGGCCTGAAAATACTAGATGGAAACTTCCAGAAATAAAACAATTTGTAAGTCTTACATTGTGTGCTGCTCTGAGGAGGGTCCTGCCCTGTCTGGGCCAGGATGTGAGGATCCCTCACCAGGCTGTGTAGGCTGCCCTCTGGCTTGGGAGCCGTATCAGCAATCAGAGGGACCGTAGTGTCCCGAGTCACCTTTGCTCGACTTAACAAAGGCCCCAATGCGAGAGCTGCGTTGCACAGACCGGAGCCTGAAGCGTGGAGGGACCGGAGAACTCTGACACCGTGTGGCAGTGCTGTGGTGTGCTGGACGAAGTGTGGCAGTTGTGGGGTTTTGTGCTACCTGCAGTTTCAGGCGTCCACCGGCAATACCCTATGGCGGTAGTTAAAGTCCAGAAATTGATGCTGAATTAGGCATAGGTTAACAATGGGGGGAAGATTAGAATACCAGAGGATTTGCGTTCAGTTTGCCTTATGAGCTTCTCCCAGGTCTCACTCACCCTACAGAAACCAAATGGTGGTGATGGACAGCTGCAGTCCCAAAGCTCTGGGAGGCTGAGGCAGGAAGATCGCAAGTTTGAGCCCAGCCTGGGCAATTTAGTGACTCAGTGAGACCCTGTCTCAAATTTTTTTAAAAAAAAATCCTGCGTTCAATCCTCCACACTAGGGGCTGGGGATTTAGCTCAGCGGCACAGCACCTGCCTGGCAAGCACAAGGTCATGAGTTCAATTCCCGGTACTGGAAAAAAACAAATAAACAAACAAAAAAAATCCTCCACACTGCTAAGAAGGAGACAAGGAAAAAAAAAATCAAGAAGCATACATGCTGCTGCTCAGGTTTGTGTAACACAAGAAAAACAAGGCAGAACTTCTTCCAGAGCACTTGGTGACAAAAACAGCCTTGGTCATGCACCAAAGCATCATCTCCTAAAAGCACACGCGACACATTTCAAGAACGCTCAATACACTGTGCTTATGTTTGATGAAATGTTCATTTTAGGTATCATAAGATTTCCTGCTTTAAATATATATTTTTTTCTATTAACAACCAGTGGTTTTGCTCATTGGATGAGAGGCTTCTCCTATTAATAGGTCTTACCTCACGGGGCGGATGTAGAGGTGGAGCAAGGAGCTAAGGTATGCAAAGTGCTTGGCGGGATGCCAGGCGCATGGTGAACATCCAGCAAGGATTCGCTCCTGTGATCATCTTCAAGGCTGGACCCCTGAGTAGCCAGTGAGCAAGTGAAGCTCAGAGGAGGGATTGCTTAAGGTCGTGAAGAAAGCGGGCTGCAGGTCGAGGCCTAGCTGTGGAGCTGTTTGAACCCTCCAGTCCCAAACTTTTATCTCATATTTAGGAGGAAGTAACATTCCCAGGTGAGTGGTGAGGAGTGGGGTCTCCCGCATCCTCAGCTCCACCCGCCCGGCCTGTGCTCCATGGAGAGCCCTGCGTGCCCCTCTAGTTCAAGGCCCCACACAGCTGAATTTATTGTCTCAGTGGTCTCTCCGCGTTTAGCAATCCCATGTGTCTTCATCTCAAAGGCTTTCATTCATGCCTTTAATTATTTGTCTCTGTGTCTGTCTCCTCCGGCAGACTGCGAGCCCCCCAGGGAGCAGACCTGACTCATCTCCAGCCTCCCAGCCGGCCCAGCGCCTGGTGCAGGCACGCGCTTCCCACGTATTTGCTGGACAAACAAGCAACTGAGCAATGGGAAGGATGGGGCACCCCATCTCCCCGAGTCCCCACCAGATCACGGTGAGGTCCCGGCTTTGTCTGGCTTTGGAACCAGGCAAAGTTTCTCCGGGACTCTGGGATTTCCCTAGGGTCCTGGTCGGCCGCTTGAGGCTCTATCCTGCTCTTTTCTGTCCTTCGCATCCCTCTGGTCTGCAGTCTCCTCTTCCTGGGGTGGGGCAGGGCAGACCCTGAGAGCCCGGGCCTGGGGTGAAGCTCCTGGCCCTCCATCAGCAGGGTGTGGCTCGGGGCTTTGCCTCCTCTGAGTCACCTCCAAGGTGTGGTGGGCTGACTCAGACGGAGAGCGAGAAGGAGAACTCTGCTGGTCCTCCAGTTTCCCGGGGGCCTGAGCCCGCCGGGGCGGGGCTGGGGGGTGGGCAGAGGGGGCCAGGCCCCCGTGCCAGGAAGGTGCTAAAACCCCGCAGGGAGGCCTGTCTGTGGTCCAGCTGTGGTCCCTGTGGTTTCGAGGTGGGACAGCGAGCCTGGAAGCAGCAGCTGGGTGTGGCAGGGGCAGCACAGAGACTGTCCCTGTCCCCACACTTGAACTGCGACTTCTGACCTTACAGCCAGGGGCTTGGGTCCCCATCCTGCCAGCCAACTTGCCATCCTGGAGTGACCCAAAGCTGGTGCTGCCTGGGTACTACTGTGTTGTGCCAGGGACTGCTGGGTCATTCTGTACACAGGTGTCATTCGGTCCCCACAAGGGCCCTGCAGAGCCCCACTCTGCAGATGAGGCTGCTGAGGCCCCCAGGAAATACTCTAGGGGAGCAGCGGAGCTGGATCGCCTAGGCCTGTTTGTCCCCTCGAGATCCTCACTCTTGACCACTTGTCCTCGAAGCTGAGGCTGCCGTCCTTCTCCCTGTTGCTTCTTGACAGGAATGACCAGTTCCACCAGGGTAGACCAAGCCTGCCCAGACCCTCTGGTATCCAAGTCTGAAAACACAGATAAGCACAGGGGAAAAAAGAAACAATCCGTTCCACGTCTTCTCCACCAGAGCGTCAATCTTCCGCGTGTCGTTTCATTGACACCTTCTTTTGGAGCACGTGCACCCGCAGTTTTGTTTTGATGACAACGGGATTGCTGGTTCATAGGCATCTCCTGAGCACCCATGGGGGTGGAGAGAGGCCAGGCAGCCCCTGCTCCTCACACCCAGGTCCTGCCCCCTGGAAGAGCCCCCAGGCACGATGGGTCAGGAGAAGGAATGCTGGGAAAATGGGCTGTGGCCCAGAGGTTCAGGACTGAGCTTCGGAGCGGGGAAGATCTAGGGTTCCGGCTATGTGGCCACAGGGTGCCGTTTGACAGCTCCGAGTTTTGCCTTTCCTGTCTGTACAGCACCTGGAGCAGAAGGGGGCTTGCGAATGAAAAGGGTGAACGCGTGGAGTCAGGCACAGTCTGTGTGCTGTGCTGGTAGAGTCACGGGTGCGGTGGGTCTTGGAGCCCTGTGCCGAGGGCATTTCTTCCTGGAGCTGAGCAGGACACAGGGCATAGGAGACACCTACCGACAGCCAGTATTTGAAGTCACACCTGTGCAGCCGGAACAGCTTCCAGAAGACGCAGACACCGACTCTTCCTTCCTGTGGGTGGCTGATGTGGGTGTGATTTTCACCTGAAGAACCAAAGTCAGCTTCACCGCCCTGGGGGACGATGGCAAGTGAGGAGAGTTAGGGGCTCAGAGGCCCCGGCAGAGGTCAGAGGTGGGGTGGGCTAGATGGTGGCACGCAGGTGCTTGCAGGTGCCCGGCACACCTGGCCTCTGGCAGGTGCCTTGTAAATGCCTGCTGCACGAGCAGATGTCTAGGGCCAACCCAGCCAGCTGAGGGGTGGGCACAGACAACGCTTGGGGGCACTCCTTTCATTTCTCTGCTCACCTTTCAAACCCCAGAGAGGTGAGGGACAAATCTACCTTGGTGGTGGCCTCCTCACCTTGTCACCCCTGCCACCCTGCCTTGGGCTCCCTGTGGGGTGCTCCCCTCCTGGGGAGCTTCCAGGGCACCTTGGAATACGGCTGATCTGCCGCCTGGCCTGGAGGGAGGCGTTGCAGAGGGTGTCTGGGCAGTGACCAAGGATTTCCCCCAGGAAAGAGCCCGCCTCAGGGCGTGGGTTAAACTAGGAGTCTGCTCCCAAGGCCCCAGTGCCCCAGCTTCCCACTGGCAAGAGGCAGCTGGCCCCGGGAGAGGAGCCAGAGGACAGCCGGGGACTGTGTCCCGAGAGCCGCATGTGGCCCTGGGACGTGGCCTCTGCCTCAGGTCTGCAGCGAGGGTCCAGCCGTGGCGGCTGGCGGACAGAGGGGCTTGGTGGGGGCTCTCGCGGAGGCGCTGGGGGAGCCACGCAGAAACAGGAGCAATGAATAATAGCAACAACAACAAAACAATACAACGTGCTGAGCACCGTGAGCTTGTCTCAGATGAGCTCATTTACTCTTCCCAGGTGTTGCTCCTTTAGGCAGCTTCTGAAGACCACAGGATCTGGAGTCCAACAGCTGGGGATCACTCAGACCTCTTTCACCCCTCTCCCACAAGGCGTCATCACAAGCGCCCCCACCCCAGAGGGTAGATGAGCCGTGTCAGGGAGGGATCATCTGGAAACATGTGTGGCAGAATAAAAGTCCTCAGATCATGTGATCGTTAGTATCCTTGACACGAGGTGGAGGCTCAGAGAGATAAAGTCACTTGCCCAAGGCTGCACAGCAAGTAAGTGATGGAGCTAGAATTTAACCTTAGATCTAAGTGAGTTAAAGCCCTGCCTCTCCCCTAATACACCTGTGTCAGCCTCACAGGTGTCCCTCCGGTCCTTCGGGAGGGCAAAGTATTTAAAACCACAGCCTGGATGGGCTGGGCCCTCCAGAGGAACTGGCGGAAGTCGCACAGCCAGCCTGTGTCCTGGCCAGGCTGGGGGCTCTCAGCAAGCAGCCGCTCATGCCAGGCCCTCCCCTTCCCCCGTGGCAGGTGCAGCCCCTTCCCGGCCTCCCGGCCGGCCCACACCCCTCACAGGGCCCAGGAAATGATGGCCAAGCTCCATTCCAAACCACAGGGGAAATTTTTTGTCTGAGCTGGTCTAGAACCCGCCTGGGGCCCCTGGGCAGACATTCTGTCATTTGCAAAAGGCAGGGCTAGGAAGCGGGTGAGGAGGGGGCACGTGGTTCCCGTGCTGTCTGGCCTCGGGATTCCCCTCACCGGCCTTGAGCTCCAGAGGCACGGACAGTCTCCCAGACCTGCCTGTACGAATGGTCCTGGGGCCCCGGGCAAGCCAGGCGCAATCACAGCTAAGTGCTGGCTGGGGACGGCAGGCTGGCGCGGCCCAAACTCGCCGTGTGAGCCTGGACAGGTGCCTTGTCCTCTGTGGTCTGCAGCCTCCACAGTCTCAGCACCTCCCTGACTTCTGTTTGGAATTCCAGGGAGGTTTCTGCCCCTGCAGGACTCAGCCTCCTGAGCCCAGCACCAAAAGGGAAATCAATAAATAAATAAAAAGAAGACAAATGCATTTTATGGTTTTTGTCTTTTCTTAGTCACACGGGGGCCTCTGGCTTCTCACTTGTCCTCCTTTGCTCTACCAACTGCAAAGGGCTGAGAGCAAGCTGCACGCAGCTCCTCCTCAGGCTCAGAGCTTCTGGAAGCAGCTGTGCACCCTGCCAAAGCCTCCCAGGGCACAGCGCTCAGCTCTGGCCTGGCCGGGCCCGCTCTAGGACTCTCCTGGGTAGCAGAGGGTCGTGTCCTTGGCCCCCCTCGCTGCCAAAGCCGAACCCGAAGGCACAGGTGGGCTGCAGCAGGAGAATGTGGCTGGCAGGCCTGTGGTGTTACAGATGGACTGGAGCTGGACGCTGGCCTGGATACACCCGTTTCTGTGGTGCTGGTCCCCGAGGCAGGATGCTGGGTTCCGGGCCCTGCTCTGGTGTGGCCTCCTTTGAGGGCTCTGGGCCAGGCCCCTCCCTTGCCAGGCCTCAGCCTTCCCCTCTGTACAGTGGGAGACACCCGGGCTCTGGGGCCAGCCAGGACCTCAAGTGCTCTGAGAATTTGTGGCTTTGTGCTTTGAGGCCTACAGCTGCGGCTTGGTAGAGATGACTCTTCCTGTGTCTGAGCCTTTCGGCGAGAAAATGGGCTAGCAGTGGGGGTTCGGCTGTACAGTCTTCCGTCTGCCTCCCCACCCCAGCCCAAGCCCCCAGGCTCAGCCCCCGTCAAGGGATGCCCCCCCACCGCACCCTCCACAGTGTAGCTGTGTGACCTTTGTCAAGTCACTCTCCGTCTCTGGCCTCCCTGGGGGTAATGGAGTTGCAAAGGCTTGAGCAGGAGCAACCTGCCCTGGTCACACCGCCTCCTTCTGACTACCTGTTGGCCCTGTCTTGGAGAACCACCCATGTGGCAGAGCGCGGGGTTGGTAGAAGCCAAATGTCTCCCGAAAAGGAGAGGGCTCCCTGGGCCGCAGCCTGCATGTCTCACATGCTATTCCTCTCTGCAGCCAGCCACTACCTGGTGACGGGAAGACTCACCCAGCGACAGGCCACAGCCGAAGCTTCCGCCGACACCCGGATCTACTGACCTGCTGTCATCAACCTTCTTTAAGAACCTGGGTCTTCTCTGTGGACCTGGGGTTGCACAGAGCCTGCTCACTGGGGGACTGAGGCCTGGGGAAGAAGTCACGACAAGGACCAGGGGCCTGAGGGACAGCACCGGGGCCTGGGACAGCCCTAGAGTGCCCACTGTTCCAGGGCCTCTTTCCTACCATCCTCTGGCTTCCTGCCCCTGGCTTCCCTGACAGTGAGGCTCTGGCTTTCTTCTGGCCACACTGGTCCCTGAGGCAGCAGGGAGAGCCCTGCCGGGACAGAGTGAGGGCGGGCACTGGGCACCACAGCCTCACGAGGTGTAGAGCATTTGCCGTCAGAAGGGGACATTGGTTTGGTTTGGTTTTTTTGTCTTTTTGAGACAGGGTCTCTCTATGCAGTTCAGGCTGGTCCTGAGCTTACTTTGCAGCCCAGGCTGGCTTTGAACTCTCAGTGATCCTCCTGCCTCAGCCTCCCAAGTGCTGGGATTACAGGCGCGCGCCACCAAGCCCAGTTTGGGGTTTTATCTTAAAGCCAAGGCAATGACAGTCACAAAGTCAGAATCCTGAGCACACTCAGGGTCACGATGGGGGAGCACACAGGATCTTGGGGGAGGGGGCCTCTCATTGTGTCCTTCAGAAGGGGACGTTGGGCTGCGAAGCCAGCTTTGATCCTCTGGCTGGCATAGCCATTGTCCTCTGCCCAATTCCTGCCTGGCGTGGCCTCTTCCGTGGCCGCCTGTCCTTCCCTCCTCCGCCCCACGCCAACACGGCCTTGGCCTGCGGGTGTGGTGCTGCTGTTGTGTCAAGGGTGGCCCCTGTGCTGGGACAGCCATCGGCCCTGTTCCCTCAAGCTCCGCCCCACCCCGGGCCTCTGCTGCTGGGTTAGGGTGAGGGTCGAGGGGAAGAGACTGCGAGGAGGACCAGAGCCCTGGGCGGGACACGGGCAGAAGAGTGTGACTTGCCTGGCACTGTGATAAATACACAGAGAGGGGCAGGTGCGCCCGTGGCGCCTCACATAGCGTGGGCTGGAGGGCGCCAGGAGGAAGTGACCAGACAGGCCTGCGGCTTGGGGAGGGCACAGCGGCAGGCGGGGGAGGGGAGCGATGTGGCGGGGGCCGCGTGCCGCAGGCCTGCCCCTCCTACCTTCCGGAGCCCAGACCTTTGTCGTCGCCGGTGCCGAGGTCCAGGCACAGGCTCTGGAACCGCACGGCCTGGGTTCGAGGTTGCTCCACCACTTTCTTCCTGTGAGATAACATATAAGCTCCTTCCCTCCTCCCTCAGGCCTCAGTTTCTTCATCTGTAAAGTGGGAAATCCCTAGTGACTGCTTCACAGTGCTGTGGGAAGGCTAAACTGGGACCATGGTGTGAGGCGCTTGGTGTGAAACAGGCACTCTGTTAAAGGAATTATTGAGCACTTACTGTGTGCCAGACCCTGTGAGACACTGCAGGTGATCCTCACACGGGTCTTCAAATGTGGACCCAATGCCTATTTTGCAGGCAAGAAGGCTGAGGGTCAGAGGACTAAGTTCCCAGGGAGATTGACCCAGGTCCCACACCAGTCAGGGGCAGCTTCCTAGAACAGGATGGGGCTGAGTTTTGAGGACTGGCACCCTCTGGGCAGGAGGTCCTTGCCTGGGTAGAACATTTAAGCCCCTGGGACATCATGGGGCTGGGGCTCCCTGGGAAGGGGTGGGTCAGAGGGTGGCTCTGGCTACTCCGGAGTCTTTCCAGGAGTCCCGGGGAGGGAGGGCCCCGTCAGGCTGTGTTCTCAGGCCACAGAGCCTCGAGCGAGCGTCAAACAACAAAAAGGCTTTTCTCACTCTGAATGAGTCACCAGACTCGAGAACAGGCAGACAGGGTCCCTGCTGGAGAAGCCGAAACCACACATCTGAAGAAGTTTCCCACGGCCGTGGCGGGCTTTAAATAGCTGCAGCAGAAGTGGAGGAGGGAGGTGAGGGAGAGAGAAGCAGGGCCCAGGCCCTGCCTGCCGGCCCTCGGGGGTCTCCACCTACCCTAGGACCCTTGCACAGGAGCCCCTTGGAAGCTGGTATTGATGGAACGCAGCCTCAGGGAAGCCTGCAGGGACCCAGAGCCTAGGCTGGGCCTGGCGACAGCAGATGGCTGGACAGTCAGCTGGAGAGACAGCCAACCTGAGAGCCAGAGTGGGGGAGCAGGCCGGGAAGGGGGAAGTTGACCTCATTGTGCACTCTGGTGCAGCCTCGGGCCCCAGCCCAGCTTCCTCGAGGGTCACCTGACCTCCCTCGGCGCTCTGGCGGGCCCCCTGCTCTGCTGGGTTCGTGACTGCACCCTGGGCGGCGTTTCCGGAGGCAGGCTGGGCGCTGAGGCTGCTGACGCACTTGCCGCCCCCTGCAGAGCTGGGTGCGAAGAGAGCCCCCCAGCTCCTTTTCCCGTAAATGAGCTCACCCCCCACCTTGCAGGGATTCTAAGAAATGGACGCTGAGCACCTGCTGCTAGCCCACAGCGGGACCCAGGGCTGGGAAGTCCTTCCCTGTGAGTGTGGGCGGATGCCCTCCATGCCCAGGCAGCTTAGCGCTGGGGCCCGCGGGGCTGGGTGCAGGGTGCAGAGACCACACTGAGGGACTCTCAGGACACCCTGGAGAGCAATGGCTCCCCCCAGCCTGGGAGTCAGGTCACCAGGGTGCTAGAGCGGCCCTTGGGGACCCTCTGTGGCTCACCAAGGGTCAGCATCTAAGGCTCAGAGAGGGCCAGTGGGGATCCAGGTGAGATTCTACGTGGGCCCACAGCCCCACCATCACCCACGTCATCCTCAAACGTTCATTCCACACCTACTGGAGCCTTTGGGTGGAGGGCAAGGGATTAGGTAGGACAACATCTGACTGGGTGACTGAAGGAAAAAGATCAGTGGGAGCCGGGGTGCCAAGCCTGGGGCTCTCTGTGCTGCTGTCGCATCCGGGCCTCGAGGTTTCGGGAAAATACGGTCTAGGGCTTCAGTCCCAGGTGATGGCTGTGGCCTAGAAAGGGGCCCGGGCATCTTACGAGGGTCCTCTCCAGAGCAGACTGCAGGAGGTAAAGGCCAGCTGACTTTGGGGGGCTGCCAGTGGGGCTCCCAGCACAGCCGCTCCTCCAGGTGCGTCAGCCAGGCAGACAGCAGGCTCGGAAGAGACTGGCTCTGGGACTTCAGCAGCGGGTGTCGCCCCTAGGAACCCACTTCCCCGTCTGTATAGAGACTCTTGACTCCAGGGGTCAGTGTGAGGGTTCTCATGACAGTGTATCAGGAGCTGTCCTGATTTCCACTGGCATCACTGGCATCCTTGCCAGTCTATAAGCTCAAGGGTGGGGACCGGGCGGTGGCTCTGGGGAGCTCCACATGCAAATGCTGTAGAGGCTTTTGCAGCCCTTGCTCAGTGGGCATTCACTGGAATGTGCAAGCGTGTGTGCGCGTGAGCGTGCAGGTGTGTGCACACGTGCTGTGCCCGCACGTCCCGCCTCTGTATGTCCCGCACATCTGTGAGGTGCCCTGGGGCCTGGGCTTTGCATACACGCCTGACGGTGGATTTGCAGGATGTCTCCATGCACACTTGCATGCGTGCACCTATGGGTATGATTGTGCACACCCACAGCGGTTGGGGCCTTAGTGGACCTGAGCCTGGAGCCCGGGGCACTTACCTCGTCCTGTCTGCTGGCGGCTGTGGGAGGTGATCCCTTGCTTTCCAAGTTCAGGGACCTCCCATGCCCTGAAGAGAAAGACTGAAAACAGAGGCCAGACCTGGACAGCGCCCTGGAGAATAGCTGCTGGGGACATCCAGGGCGTCCTCTCCAGTTAGCTCCTCAGGAAGGCAGCCTGCTCTTCCCGCTGCTCTCAGCCACCCCTTTCCCTGGGGCGGCGGCCTCCGTGCACCTGCACAGCCAATTCTGTGAGCGCCCCACCTGCCCTGCACTGGCTGTTTGCCTGCACGTTCTCTCCCAGCCCCAAGATGGAGGTTCTAGAAAAAGCTTCATTCTACCAAGAAGGAATCTGAAGCTCAGAGAAGTTGAACAACTCACCTGAGGTTACACAGCAAGCGAGTAAGAATCAGACATAAGCAGGACTCCAAATCCAGGTCCCTTTCCCTGGGGCCATACTGCTTCCACGTTTCAAGACACGTAAGCAGCCACCTCTCCTTGGACTGACCCAGAGGGGCCCCAGGGGTCTGGGCAGCTCTCATCTCCCCATGGTGTATAGGATAAGACCCCGGGCTCAGGGAAGAGGCTCCTGCCCACCTAACACGGACCATCAACTCACCCTTAATCCAGATTGAGCCACGGTTAGGCCTAGAAACCTCCACGCCTGCCCCAGCTGGGCTACCAGGACTCCCTCAGCGGTCAGTTGCCGGGCAGCCTGGCCTGTGGCCCCATGAATCCCGTCCACAGAGTCGTTACTCTTCGCCCAGGACGTGCCTCCATGTGACGAGGGCTTCTGTGTTGGGAGAACATGTGGCTTTGATTTAAGTTTCACCCTGGAAAAACAATGGTTTGGATTAAGGGAAGAAACAGTTGGTGAAGTGTCATGAAAAGCAAGGAGGGAGAAGGGGCCCTGTCACAAAAGCGGCCCCACACTTCCCATGCCACATTCCTGAGGTCTCCCCGGCCCGCCAGCCTGCTGTCGCCTCCTAGCCAGGCAGCTCCCGACTTTCTTCAATCGCAGGAAGCTTCCTGCGGGGGCTGAGTGGATATCCCACTGGTCCCGCTCCCTCCTCTTACAGGAGGGGAAACTGAGGCCCGGAGCTGGCTGACGGTGGGAGCTGATGATGGATCTTCCCAGTGTCCAAGGAGCCCAGAGGGGATTGAGGAGAGGGGCATGAAGCTCTGCTGCTTCCAGTCCATTGGCCAGGAGCAGTCCTCTTTCTCAGTGGGGTGAAATCATCCCCAGAGCAGGAACCTCAGAGAAGGCTAGCACGCTTGGCTCTGACTTCCTAACCTGGACTCACGCTGGGCTCCCCGCCAAGAACGTCCCACGCACTGTCCAACAGTTCCCATTTCACAGATGAGCCCACAGAGGCTCTAAGAGGCTGTGATTCGCCAGTCCCAGGCTGGGATGTGGCAACTGGGTCTTAAGGCCAGGTCCATGCAGCCCCAGGGCTGTGCCCGACCACTGCGCTGAGAGGCTGAGGCCAGGAGAGCGGCGTGGGGACAGTGAGACCAAGGCAGCTGCAGCTGGGAGCACCTGGAAACCATTCCCACTGGAGTTGCCAGTCCCCAGAGCTGGGACGGTAGCAGAGGTTCCTCAGGCTGAGGGATGGGGCTTGCCTGGGTCCCACAAGGCCTGGCTCCAGCCAGGTCCCTTGAGGGCCAGCGAGGGCTTTGTGTAGCTGGTTCCAGATGTGCTGGAATCACATGGGTGAACCACACGGGGACACCCGCTCCCCAGCCCACCTGGCCACTCTTTCCCTCCCCGTGGCCTCTCTGACATGGCTGCCTCGGTTACGGCTCTGGCTGTGGTTGCGGGTCTGTCTGAGACCAAGTTCAGGACCCAGGGTATGGCCAGAGCTGTGTGTCAGGAACCAAGGCTTGGTCTGTGGCCAGGGTCAAGACTGAGGAGTGGAAGGCAGTCCCTTGACTGTGGATGACCCAACAGACTCCACACCCCAAAGGCCGGTGTTAACCTTGACGTGCGGCGGTAGAGGTGAAGGCTGGGCTCCATCCTCTGTGCAGGCGGAGGGGGGACCTCTCAGCCCCAGGAGGCTCCCTTCCACACCCACCACTGCTCCAGAGGTGTGCAGATGGGGACAGACATCTGGCACAGTCCTCCCCCTCGCACCCTAGGACAACGCCATCTCCTCTGGGGAGAAGCCACAGGTGTTAGGCCTGGCCCTCTGCTGATTCTTCTCTCCGAGGCCAGGAGAGCCATCTGTCCCCAGGAGGGTTCCACCGGTGCCCAGAGGTCACTCTCCCCCAAGCAGGAGGAGAGGAGTCACCTGGAGGCCAAGAGAGGGGCAGCTCTGCAGTAGGCAGCGGGGGTCGGGGTTGAAGGTTATCCAATCTGCCCCTCACCACCGACTCCTGGGCGTATCATTGGCGTCTATACAGAGCAGTACTGGCCTTATTTCAGCAAAGCAGATAGCACGGAGCAAGGCCTGGAGACTCTGACCACACTGAGCAAATCACACCCCACCGCGGGCCTGGGCCCATGGCAAGTGGCCCATCCAGGGGAGCAAAGGCTGGGCAAAGGCTTTCAAGGAGGCACCACGGCTGGGCTGAGAAGCCAGCCTAGGCGCCCAAGGGAAGGTGCCCAGGCCTGTCCAGAAACGGGACACTCGGCACTGCCCATCTTGACTGGGCCAACAGCACTGGGGTCAGATGAGCAGGTGTCACCCTTGAGCTGGTCTTCCTCAACCCTGCAGCCCCCCAGCCTCTAAAAACAGAGGAAAAAACGTCACAAATAGCTAGGCACAAAGGGCCGCAGAAGCCATGCTCTTCCACTGTCCAGAGGAGGAAACTGAGGCTGGGGGACTGGCAGGGGCCTGACCAGGGTCATCTAGTACAGCAGGAACATTCTAGAACAGGGGTCCCTACACATTGCTGTGGACATACATGCTCACCCAGAGGGAAGGAAGCACCCCATGTGGCTCTCCTCTGCTCCTCCTCTAGCCCCTCCTGGGGTCTCTGAGGGGATCTGTTTAGGCCTCTGTCACCCAGCTGGCCCAGAGAGGAGGAGAGGCCTGACCCTGGTGGCCAGGTGCTCAGCTCTGTACCCGTACTGTGCCCAGCCTCCCCATACCCGCCAGGCTGGGCCCAGGACGTGACAGCCTCTGTGCCCAGCCCTCCTCGTCCCTGCATCTTTGCAGAAGTTCAGCCTCTCCTTGGTCCACAAGGAGCACTGCTCTTGGCCCTGCAGGCCATCTCACGAGAGGTAAGAGGAAGAAAAACCCGCAGACACCAGCAAAGCAACCGCGCATCTGCCACCGTTCCCCCTGGTGGAGTTTCCCCCGCCACGGAATGGAGAGGAGCCAGTCAGTCTGGAGAAGAAATCAGCCTGGGGGCTGGGCAGTGTGGCTTGGGGCGGCTGGAGCCCAGGGCTTCAGTCGCTCAGGCTCAGGTGGGCAACACATTGCTGAACTCAGAGCCATTAATTCATTCACCATCAATCTTGAAAGTGTCAGAGACCGGGCATGCTGGCGCACGCCTGTAATCTCAGCACTCGGGAGGCTGAGGCAGGAGGATCGTTGTGAGTTCAAGACCAGCCTGGGCTACAAAGTGAGCAAGGCCAGGGTGAATGCATGGCGAGACCCTGTCTCAAAAAGACAGAAAAAAAAAAAAAAAAGAGAAGGGAAAAGAAAAGAGAAGTGTCAGAGTGTCAGAGGGGTAGAGATCCTGGTCTAGTGCTGCTGGCTTACTGCGTGACCTTAACCAAGTTGCTTGCCATTTCTGAGCTGTCATCGCTGACCTATAAAATGAGACTTGGCTCCATCAATGGGTCTCAACTTTGGGTGCACTGAGGATCTTTTAAAACCTGTACTTAACTGCCTGCTTGCAGTGTATCCTGGGCACACCCCTTTGCTCCTCTGTGCCTCGGCTCCTCCATCTGTGGCTCACCATGTCCTTCCCTGCACAAGGACTGAGTGGCCTGGTGTGTAAAGTTGCGCCACATGCGGAGGAGGGACTAGGTACGCTGCTGTGGAACCAGCTACGGGAAGTGACCCCTGCTGGCCATGCGCCCCCGCAGTCCGGAGAGGCCGCATGAGCTTGCCCGGGCTCTCCTGGCACAGATACTCTCCACCCGCCTCGGCCCCTGCGGCTGTGTCGTCTGGGATCCCGCGAGCCAGCGTGGTCGGAGGCTGCGGGCAGCCCGCTCCCTGTGCCCGTAGGGGGCTGGGCGGAGGGAGGAGCCCAGGGCCCCCGGCCCCCGGAAGTCCTTCGCCCCCCCCCCCCGGGCTCCCCTGCTGTCCCTACTGCTCCCTGCGTCCTATGGACTGCGGATGGCCGGCGTACCAGGGGTGACACTGACAGCCCGCAGGAGGTCAAATCCCAGCTGGCCACTTGCTGGCAGAGCTGTGGTTCATGTCCCGACGTCCCCCAGAACCTCGTGCACTCAGAGGCCAGCTGGAAGGCGACTGGATTAGGGGACGCTGAGGCTGGCTTGCGGCTAGAGGGGGGCCCTGTCCCACAGAGGCGGATCCCGGGGAGGGGGACTCGGAAGGGCGCACCTGCCTCCCCTGCTCCTCCCTTCCCCCTCTGCTTCCCCGCAGCCTGCCTGTGGGCGGGCCTCCTCCGCCATGCTGTCCTGCCTTGGAGCACCCCGTCCTGGGCTGAAACATGAACCAAAATAAACCTCTCCTCTCTAAGCTGTGGGCGTCTGCTATTGTCTCCCAGTAATGGGAAAGGTGACTAAGACAGGCTGTGTGACCTTAGGCAACATACTCAACCTTTCTGTGTTCCAGTTTCCCCACCCATGAAATGGAAATGAAAACTGAGGACCTACATAACGGGGCCACTGTGACAGTATTCGTATCCCGTGACCCAGCCTGAGTCGGCCCCTTATGAGTGCTGGCTGTCGTCACTGCGACAGGCAGGGTGTTGTGAAGGTCATCACAGCTCATCACCTGAGCAGGTGGTACCACGGCCAGGATGCTCAGGGGCGGGCCCGGCCCTCCGCGTCGTGATCACCACACTTCAGCAGCGTGTGGGTTTTCTGGCTTCTGCTGCGAGGTGTATTTTTAACCACGCAGCCCTCTGACTGAGTTGGGATTGAGTGGGTGACATCTGCAGCAAGATGTCCTCTTCAGAGCACAGGGAGCGTGAGAGTGCCCTGCACAGAGCCCCCGGGGCAGCTCACGGCCTCAGAGCACTCAGCCGGCTGCACACTTGGGGCTGAAGCTAGGGGTGGGGAAGGCTCCCTCATACCTCGAGCCCGGTGACTTGGGGTGCACCTTCTACCTGCCCTGCTCTCCACCGCTCCCGCATTCAGTTGCTCAGCAAACCCCTCTCCATGCTTCCCAGGGCCAGACTGTGAGCCCCAGGGGCTCAGGGTGTCCACACCTCACCACGCACAGCTGAGGCCCGGGACAAAATGCAGGGCAGGGCAGAAGTGGACTTTGTCCCGTGACCCGCAACCTGCAGGGAGCCGGAGCTACCAAAGCACTCTGCTATGGGTGTGGGGGCTGAGAGCCCTGTTGGGGGACACTGGGGAAGTCAGGAGGGGAGTGCTGGGGTGAGTTCCAGGAGAGGGCTGCTCAGGAGGGGGGAGTGCTCCAATAAATGTGCAATGCGGTCCAGAGTCAGAGCATCATGAGAGGAGTGGAATTGCCCCTGGAGTGCAGTGGGCAGGGGAACCTCACGTGAGATAAGAAGAGCAGGGTAGGGTACAGGGCTGGGCCTCAGAACGGGTCATGCAGGGCTCTGACCTTCATCCCCAGAGCCAGAAGGACAGGCAAGGAAGCCGGGCGGGGCTGAAGGCTTAGCCAGCGAGGCTGCTCTGGAGCCTGGAGGGAAGGATTCAGTAGGGCTCAGGGCGGGTCCTGCCGTCTCCAGCTCATCTAACTGCACAGAGCAGCATCCCTTAGCGGCGCTTCCCCTCAGATCCATTCTTCCACAGAAGCAAAGTTTAGATCACACTCTTTTTTATTATTAAATATCTTTTTTTTCTGGCTACAGAGTTTGTACTCTACAGGGCAGAGCAGTGAGAAACTACTAAATCTGAAGGACTGCTGTCGGAATAAAAGGTTTGGCTCCCTTTCTGGAATTCTCTTTAAGCCAAGAACCAGGGCTAAATGCACAGCTATGTGACTACAGAACTTCTAAGCTGTTTTGGGAGCCATCCTAAGACTCCCAGGTTCCTTGATAGGTGGTGAGCCCTCCGTTCCTGGGGGTATGTAAGCTGTCAAAGTACAATTTTTAAGAAACTAAGTAAAAGCTTAACTCTCACCCAAATCTAGATTAAACACAGGT